TCATGCTGCCTCCACCACTATCCTCTTTTAAGAGACCCTCCCATCCGTACCCCGTGGGTGAGAAAGGCAGGCACGTCAGACTCGCTGCAAAGAAAAATACTGTACTACTTAGTCTACTTTTACTGAATTCTGGCTTACACCAAAGCTAACCCTTAAAGTCATATGACCTTGCCTAATAAAGGACATCGTTTTGGTAAGAAATTTGGAGTAATCATTCTTCTGTTTATATTGTGTTTTAGTATGTCAGGGAGTACAGGCTTGAGTATAGTATTAAGTGAGTATAGTATTGGAGTCAATTTTAGAAAATGAAGTAACAGCTATTTGAATCTCTCTTGCCATGTCCTGTCATTTACAGTCACTTTTCTGACTAATTTTTGTTCCCTCTGACTGTTGAAAACCCTCAGTAACTGAAATAAGCAGTTGTTTTTGAGGATCTGACAAACCGTTTTCAATATTCACAACTGCAGGGTTTGCCTGCAGACACGTTTAGCAGCCTTGGCTTAGTAATTGCTTCCCTGCATGTCAGTAGTTAGCAGGGCTGGGTCCCACCACGGGACACCCAGCTGGGGACTGCAGGTAAACAGCCGCCTGTCCGTAAGGATGCACGAGGAAGTTCGGCTGCCAAGGAGTGATGAGTGGCTCCATTAAAAAAGGACTGCATCCACTTGCAATGCAGAACTGCCTTTAACTTACATGCCTTGAGGAGTCTCACAAATGCTAGGACCTACTGAAATGATCCTTTTAATTCAGCAATTTTTAGTTCGGTTTAATAACACACTTGATCCAGTGTAACTGTAGGCTTCCTGCAAAAGGGAGCGTCCCACCCGTGTCTTTCCTGCTCCCTTGTATTAGAGATGATAATCATACAACTTCACAACCAGTCAGAGGCAGGGAAAAATAATCCACTCAAAAAAACACCATTAGTCTTCTGTGGCATCAGGGAGCTGATCTGATTCACTGTGTAGTTTCATGACCCGATGTCATCAATGGAGCGTCCAAAAGTAGAGCTGAGAAAAGGAAAGCAAACTGCGGTTTCACTGACAGCCCTGGTTATATCGGATAAATCTAACTCTTAGGTTCAATTACTGTCATCCTTAATGAACCACGCCGGTGCCAGCAGCCCTGCTGTTTAGTTGCCATACAGTCATATACCACAGGTGCTTGTGTTTCCTTCAGTCCTGAAGCCACCAGTATGCTGATGCCCCCCTGTGAGTCTTTTTCTGCTTAGTGGATAATGGTTTTTATAAAATAGAGTTAGATAAAACAAAGTAACCTGCTTTAGGAATGGGGCAAGTTCTTGAAAGATAGTGGTAATGACAGATGTTTTTCCCCATGCAGTTGCTATGGAAACGGGCCCTTAAAGATCGTTTCAAATATGTGCGGAGACCTATTGAAGATGATGAGCAAGTCCTGAGGAACAAATGCAAGTTTGGACACAGGCGAGGACAGACCAGGAAATCTTCATTTGCTGAAAACAAATGTGATGACGTCCAGGTGCAGGTAGAGGTAAGATTTTTGATGCTTAATTGAGTTCTGTGTCTTTCAGCTCCTCTGCTGATGGTAAGGCCACCAGCCAGTAAAGGGGAGAATGAAGTGATCTCATCCTATTTAAACTCATTTCATATAGAGTTTGTCCTATAGCCAGACCCTGACTTCTTTCTCTTTCTGGGTAACTATCAATAGTGGAGCTGAACCTGATACTGGATGCCTTGCACATTTGTAGTCATTTAGAGTTGTTGCCAGTTGGACATAAAATTCTGTCTTTTTTAAAAATGCAATATTGCCATTCTGCTTTAGGTTATACAACCTCCAATTAGAGTGAAAAACCATAGAGGCTTACATCTAAGAGCTGAAACCTCTGTACAAATAAGAATGCAAAGTGATATTTGAGCTGGTAGCAAATGGTCATATCCTACTGTCACACTGCATTTTGTTGCATAAAAACTGTTTGTGTTGATGTGTCATATAGATAGGGATGCTTACGAATGTATGCATGCAGTTGCTGTATTTCCCTTTAGTTAGAGAATTCAGAGTGTTATCACTGTCCAGTAAGTGTTTGAAGCATACTAATTAATTTATACACTTTTATAAATACATTAAGGTTCCAGTTATGCTTTGCCAACACTCCTCACACTTCCTTTAGTGCTGCAACTAAAATGTGGTAAAATTTAAACAATTGTAAGAATGTGATAAAGAAGATATGTGAGCAGATATTTGACTTTAGTTTACATATGTCCATCCTGCTGTTTACCAGACACATGTCTTTAGGGCAACAAGAGTGGCTTACTGGATGCATTTTGGCATAAATCACCCTTGTGTCTGAAGGTAGCTGTAGTTTTCTACCCAAAAAGCAGATATATGTTTTTGGTTTGGTTTTTTTTTTTTCTTTTTTTTTAAAGCTTCAGTAATTTCTGTTTATCCCCTTTTGCTTAATGTATGCAGGAATAAACACTTCCCTCTTTCTGCCTGCTTTAGTTGAAATGTTTGCAGAATGTGTGAAGTAAGAAACCTTTAATTTGGGTGCAAAACAATAAACAGTCTTGCATGCACTAAAAGAGAAATGACAGGCTCCTGGTTTTGTGCATGCATTAAGAATTGGCCATCCTTTATCTGGTAATGCTCGGAAAGGGCAAATGTGGGTCTTTTTTGTCACATCAGCTAGCTGAGAAGGGCTTTGCAGTGATCCTGTAGGGACTGCATGCTTGACTTCATTTTTCTATAGAGAAGGTGTAACTGCACTGCGCTATGTGTCTGTAAATGAGGAATCACCCCTCTGTTTAACTGCATTGCCCAAGGCCATCACTGGTCATTCCTTGTTTACTTCAGAAATTGAAGAAAAAGGAAGTATGTTCCACCTCTTCTGAAGTCCTAGACATTTTCTGCTAGCCTTAACGTTGTAAGCAAGTAAGAGTTAAACAGGAAGGAGGCGAGAGGATGCTGAGTCTCCCTGAACAACTTTTACTTTCTTTCTCTTATTTTTCCTGTACCCTAAACATCAGGGAGAGAGATATAAATGCAAAAATTAACACTTGTGGAGCCTATTAAGGCGTAAGAATGAGTCCCACAAAATTAAGGGAATTATACCTTTTTTAGTTTTAAATGTGTTTCTACATTGAAACCAGGCATGTCTGGCTCTGAGATCTTAAATTATGTCAGTACAAACAGCAGCTAAACAAGATGTTTGTTTATCATTCTTTCAAACAAATGCCGTGTGGGGTTTTTAATTTTGTATATTTAGGAACACACATAAAGGCACGTTTCTGCTAATCCTTGGCACTAACTACTTTGTGATAAATTTAAACTGCTAAACAAAGAGTCTTAGCCTCAAAAAATAAATATTTGGTCTAGAAGCCAATACCACAGGCAAAACCAAATGATTTTCAAATTATCATTACCAGATCCCCTTGCCTTCTTCCCTTTTCCAAGTCTGGAAGAACAGATCAGCCTTGTGTGGACTAGAAGCCAACACATCAGGATTATTTAAGGTGAAAGGGTGGGAACTGAGTTCCAGGTTAAGGAGACCTTTGGAGAATAATCTGTCAAGGATTCCCAGCCCCTTAGATAGGCAGAGTGGGACATTTAGGGCATTATAGGTCAAAGCCAACTGGCAAGCAGTGCAGATGAAAGAGCACATCTGTTCCCAACAGATGACCTACTTACCAGCCATACAGCTGACTTCTATATTAAGCTTTAGTTTCTGAATAGTCGTAAGATGTAACTCCGTCAAATGTGCTTTCTGTCAGTATAATCTTGGATTGTTCATGGTATGCAACTGATAAAAAGATTATTTACGAATAGGAAATGCCTCACTGGCATACCCGGCATTTGTTTTTATATAAAAAGGGTAATAAATCTATTACTACTAATAAAATCCTTGACCACTCTTTCTATTTCATCATGTGAAAAAACAGTTGCTTGCCAGGAAAAGCTTCCTGTGATGTTTTGGGATGTGCTCAGAGCCACAGATGATGTCTGCCCCTTGGTCTGTCCAAGCCCAGTTACCTGCCAGCAGGCATTCCTCCTCCAAACACAGTACGAGTGTTACTTGGCCTCCCATGCAGAGCATTGCTTCCAGATGCAGCATCTGGCTTTCTCCTCCAGCTTCTTTAAAACGTCTGCTGATGTATTGCTCATTACAGAGCATTATATTCAAGCAAGATTGAAGAGTATATTCATTTTAGAGTGGCTAAAAAGGAAAGGTCTTGAGCAAGTGCATTGCCCAGAGCTGTAAAATGATGGTAAGCAAGCACATAAGCCCACTCTGGAGGTGTCTGTCACTGAAGGAGGTTTTGCTTAAAATGATGCTCCCTACAAATATTCATCAGGTTAAGCCATCATTGGAAAGAAGCTTGGACTGTGCCTGACGTAGACATTAATATGAGCCTCCATGTCTGAAGGATATTCAGAACTTGATCAGGAAAGCCTTCTTAATTAACAAATTTTCTGGCTATGGAGTGAGAATCCTCCTCAGTCATTTTCCACAGTCAGGCAAATATCCTGGAGCTGCAGCAATCCAGGGGAGAGTGTTTGTAATGATAATTACCTTCATCTGCTGCAAATGGAAGGGTGATCACACCGTGAAACTAAATAAGAAAGGCAAGCCAGTCTCCCCTCTGCAGCCAGGGTCGGATTGCTGCTAAGGCAGCCATCCAGTGGCTTGTTCTGACTGATCTCATTCTTTTTTCAGCATCAGAATGGTAGCATAAAACTCTTCCTCTGCCCTAAGGAATTATTTGGCTTATGGTCCTTCAGGCTATGAGAGAAACCACCCCCTGCCAGTTGTGACAGGAGGGGCTGTAGACTTGGGAGAGCCAGAAGGAATAGGAAGATAGGACACTCTTGGTGTGCATCTTTGGCCAGAGGATTATCAAAAGGCAAAAGGTGATGGAGAGGGAAGTGCAGTTAGAGCTGGTGATTGGCTTCCATACGATGAAAGCATGTGGTCCAAACACTAGCTTAGTCATCACAGGGGTGGTGACCAAAGAGCAAATTGTCCTTTTCGGAACTTCAAGTTTTGAAATCTTGTCAGTCTTGAACAGTGCTGTCCATGGGAAGTGTGACTTCACAGTCAGTTCAGTTAGCTGAAGACAGACATAAAAATGCCCATAGATATCCTGCATGGCTCCACCTGCCAATCCAGAAGGGCATGGGTCTCCCATAGGTCCTGTGTCATATTCTGCTACTTCCAGAGGTTTCTGGGATACCCTTATGACATCTCAAATGCTACTAAATAGCTATATCTATGCAACTGAATCAAGCTCCTTCAGTCCATCCCAGCCATTGTATAAGAAAACCTGTCAGCAAAGGGACTATCCAAGGATATCTTAAGTTACCTGAATTTTAAGGGAATGTAACAGGCTAGAAGACTGTTAGTAGTTCAAGATCTTAAACAGAAGTGGAGAGAGAGAGAATACAGCCCCTCTTCTAATGCCTCCAATTTCTTACATCCTATGACAGCCTGTTTGTGAGGTCATCAGTGCTTCTCTGAAGCTGTCACACAAGCAAATTTGGAGTTAGATGTGAAAAGGAGAAATAGGTTGTCAGTTAAGATAGTGGTAGATGTTTGCAGATAACTGGGCATATTTGCCACACCCAGCAGAGCTGGGAATAACATAATGAAAACAATTTGTAAAGGGGCCACCAGCAGGCCATCTCCTTTCTGTGTCTATGGCATAGAGATAAGAAATGTTTTGGTGAGTACTTAGACTGGGAGAAGCAGAAGAATTCTGCAGAAACTTAAACCCATGAAGTTGGACATCTGCTGATATTATTCCTGTACAGGGAAGATAAGCAGGAAT